TAGGATGACACGGCCTACATTTTCCCTGATGTTTCAATTATATTTGCAGATTTATACATTTATGGAATTATGTATTTCTTGTAACTCCCTTTTTTTTTACAATAAATGCATTTTGTTAATATAAGACTGTCAAGATATGATACTTTTATTACAAATTGACTTTATAAGTAGCAGTGAAAGAGCAAAGATTCCATAACTAGACTGGAGGATTTGAATCTTGGCTCTGTTCCCTATTAGCCACCATATTTTGCCTTGTAAAATGCACTCCCATATATGATACACACCCATGTTTTTGGTCCAAACTTTCAGGAAAATGCCTTTCAAGAAAGCGGCCAGCTCTCAGCCAGGAGAGACACACCTGGGAAGGGCTAATGCTTTCCTGGTAAACATGTACATCACATTGCCCTCCCACAGCTGCAAGCTCTGTGAAGGCTGTCCCTTCTCTCTCTCCCAAGAGCCCTTCCTTCCCTTCCCACCAGGTCAGGGGCTGCAGTCAAGATTGCCACATGTGTGCCTAGTGACATGGAAAGTTCTGAGGCCTCTCAGCCTGCAAGCAGTCCTTGGGGCCTGTTTAGGGCTCTCAATCCCCTTCATGTGGCTAGCCAAGGCCCTAACCCCACACAGCTGGAGCCTGCCTCACCAGCTCCTTCACCACCCCCTCCCCATGATTGTGATGCTCAGTGAACACTGCTCTGGCTGACTCCCACAGGACCTCAGATCCTCCTGGACTGGAATGACGTGTGTCTAGCAGGTGGCCTGCACAGCAGCACCAGGAGGCCCACTGGGCTCCCCTGCTCCTGAGCTAAACCACCCATGCAGGATGCACATCCTTATTTTTCTCTCAAAGATTTAGGCCAAAAAGTGTGCATTATACATGACAGAATACAGTATATGATTTTGGATATATTTAGCTGTCTGGATCTCAGTTATTTATCTATAAAATAGTTAATAGCACAAATCTTGGAGCAGCATTGCCCAATAGAACTTTCTGTGACTATAAAAACCGTCTACTCTGCACTAACCAAATGGCAGCCACTAGCCACATACGGCTATTGAGCAAATGACATGTGGCTAGAGCAACTAAGGAACTAAATTTATAATTTTATTCTACTTTAACTGATTTAAATGTAAATTAAATACATGACTAGCGGCCACTATCCTGGGAAACACAGTTTTGTAGGGTTGAAGAGATATAATGAGCTAATGGAAATTCAGATCCATATCTGGCACACAATAATCACTAAATGTTCACTACTAATATTACTCAGAATGCCACATCATTAAAAAATTGGTATGCAAGTATGGGTTATAGTTTTCTTCAACACTTTTTCTAAATCCCGTGAATAATTCTTTTCTTACTATTTATATTTCCTGTCCTTTCCTCTTCCAGGCAGCACTGGTTTCAGGAAATACTTGATTAATCTTCCCAAGCCCTACCTGCCATTCCTGGGCCTAACAATATGTACTATATGTTCAATTTTTCTTTTTTGTTTGTCTGTTTGAGACAGAGTCTCAAGCTGTCACAGTGGGTAGAGTGCCGTGGTGTCATAGTTCACATCAACCTCCAACTCAGGTTCAAGCAATCCTCTTGCCTCAGTTTCTTCTACTTTTAGTAGAGATGGGGTCTTGTTCTCGCTCAGGCTCAAGAAATCCACCCACTTTGGCCTCCCAGATTGCTAGGATTACAGGCATGAGCCACTGCGCCTGGCCATGTTCAGTTTTTCTGAAGATTGTGCAAACTATTAACGCATCTGATCCCAGCTCCTTTCATACTCTACTCCCCTTCTCTGTATTTTTCCTACTTTTTTTAGAATCTTTCAAGTGTTGATGCATATTAATTTCCTGTTTGGATAAACCATAAGGGTATTTTATTATTGCACTTGACATAACCAAATTAGTCATTCTGAACCTTAAACATCTTAAAAGGCTCACAAAAAAACAAACTAGAAATTACCATCACCTTGTTTTTTGATGAGGTTGGAGTGAAGTTAGAAAGGGTTATATTTCACTCCCTAGTACATAGTAAGAGGCAACCACTCATGTTCTAGCATATAGCTGTGTTCTCTGAAAAGGCTACTGGCACTATCCTGTGCATCTCTTGATACAGAAACACTAACTTTATATCCCAAAACAGTCTCATGACATCAAATCAGTTTTTCCTAGCACAAAGACTTCTGGAACAATAAAACTGATAAGATTTCTTCCACTGTCCTCCTGGATAAGATATAGCTAAAAATGAGAGAACAGTTGTCAGAAGAAATGAGAACTGAAAGTCTAAATTCAGGTATCTAAGAAATGTACTAGATATGGTCTTTACATTACAATTGTATACTTTCAAATAAATAGTGAGAAGTTAAGTAACCTGATATACACCTGTACCCCCCAAAATAAGACATAATAGATCAACTAGTCTAATGTAATGCCAGGAGGAAGCTAAGGGATAGTGAAAAGAATAAAAAAATTAAAATTTCTATTTTCAGGTATATACGAATTAGAATTGTAAACCCAAAAGGCGGGGAGGAAGAAAAACTTGAGCCACTGCCCAGAAATAAAATGTGTATATGAGGCAGAGGGATGGGTGGTTCTTTTTTTAAAGACAGAATTTTACTTTGTCACTCTTGGTAGAGTGCCATGGTGTCATAGCTCACAGAATCTCAAACTTTTGGGGTTCAAGAGATCCTCTTGTTTCAGCCTCCCAAGTAGCTGGGACTACAGGCACATACCACAACACCCAGCTACTCTTTTTAGACATGGGGTCTCACTCTTGCTCGGGCTGGTCTCAAACTCCTGAGGTCAAGCAATCCACCTGCCTCAGCCTCCCACAGTGCTAGGATTATAGGTGTGACCCACCACTCCCAGACCAGATGAGTAGTTCTTTACTACCCTGGTAGAGGTACAAGTATCCTGTTTCTTCTCTAGTAAAGTATTTCTGTTCTAAGACTCCATGTGCTTTGTTGTCTGGGATTCTTTTTCCCATTTTAAGCAGTTAGAAATGATTTTAACTGCAAGTAACAGAAATCTTGATTTGTATAATAAGGATTTTTTCTTAAGTAATCAGCAGTCCAGGGAAATGGACTTGTACAGAAACTCACTTGTACAGAAGATATATGGTACCTACAGATTAACTTTTTGGTTGGAGGCCAGGTGCAGTGGCTCATGCCTGTAATCCCAGCACTCTGGGAGGCCGAGGCAGATGGATAGCCTGAGCTCATGAGTTGGAGATCAGCCTGAGCCAGAGAAAGACCTCATCTTTAAAAATAGCCAGGAGTTGTGGTGGGCACCTGTAGTCCCAGCTACCTAGGAGGCTCAATCAAGAGAATCACTTAATCCCAAGAGTCTGAGCTGTTAAGCTGCGACGCGACACCAAGAAATTTTATTTTTGTTTGTTTGCACTGGTAATAAAAAAATAAGTAGAGAGCTACTTTTTAGTATCCTAACTTCCCTACAGATAAACTGTTAAATTCTGCTTGGTTTTCTGATAGCCTCTATTTTATAATTTAATTCCTATATTTTATACTTGATTATTCTTTCAGAACATATCACAGGCAGTTTCTAAAGACAGCACATAACACATACTGTTTCTAATTTCCACAATTAATTCTGAATTTCATTCCCATTTGCAAAAAGTCTGAAATATTTTCCATTGACATTTCACAGAGATAGAGCTGTAGAGTTCTATCTCAATTTGGAATGGATTACTAGAAAAAAGCATATTATATGGACTATCATAAAATCCAAGACAAGAAAGTAATAACCTATATTCTCTTAAACCATTTGCATCACCAGATCATTAGGTATAAATACTTCTAAGGCATTGGGGGAATTAGCACTTCATAGCTGATAGCATAAGATGCCACTTTCTGTAATCATCTTTCTTTCTTTCAACTAATAGAAACTTCTATCCCACTTAAGGATTTTAGAGTAAAAAAGATCAGGAATATTTCTTTTGCCCTATATCCTTTTGTGTCTTTTTCTCTCTCCTGACACTCTATTAGTCTGGAATTCTTATTTTTCAAGAAAAAGAGACTAGGTTGAATTTTTATACCTTTGAAATGTACCTCACTAGACCCCTTATAAATCACTTCTTAGCTAAAGTGAATTTTCACTTATTTTTAAATTTCTAAGTCCCTAAGGGTACCATATTCTTTATGTTACTTTAGTTAGAATTTTTATTTTAACTTTGCCTAGAGTTGGAATTTCAGATGGCTTAAAAGCATTTTTAAAGTAGTAGCCTGTGAGGTACACTTAACCTTTTGTAAGAGATATGCTTTTCAGAAAAATGCTTTACAATGTTCACATTGTTATAGACTCACATAATTTTACAGCCACTTTCTAATAAAATTCAAATTAACAAGGGTTTGAAAAACTTTCATTTTCATGCCCTCACTCTGACACTCTGCCATTTAAGTTTATATAGTAGCTTGATATGAGTATTTGCAGGAACTTGTAAATCCTGACAACTTCTCTTAATTTATTCATTTGAAGTTGTTTTTTAGATGGTAAGTTTTACTAAGCGGACTACAAGAAAAGGATTAAGTTTTTAAAAAGATTTAGACTAAAATATTATTATGTCATTTCTGTCTTCACATTAAGTGGCAACTTTAAAACAGGATTTTTCCACCTATTATTGACATTCTAGGTTGGGTAATTATTTGTTGTGGGGGCTTTCCTGTGTCCCTACAGTAGGATGTTTGGCAACATCTCTAGTCTCTACCTAATAGATAACCATAGCACCCTTGCCTTACCCTATAACTTCTGACAACCAAAAACTATCTCCAGACATAGCCAAATACCCCTTCACGGTGGGGAGAAGGAGGAGGCAAAATGTCCCTAGCTGAGAACCACTACTCTACAAGGCATACTATTTTCTGCATCAAAACCAAAGATTCTATTACAATAAGCTGCAATCTTTATTTTTAAAAAGGAGGTAATATCAGGTGGAAAAAAAAAAGTTTATGGCAGTGAAAATATTTTAAAATACGATCAAATTGAAAGCGTAATTATAAATTGGTCAATTTCTCTGCAGTGAGGTCTGATTTTAACTGAACCTCAGCTACTTTCAAAGTCAGTGCTCTATAAAGGGCACCACTCACTTTTAGCTTTGTTCTCAATGTTTTCTTCTTTGCTCTCTGGACTTCTTTTCTGTACCAACGAATTTCCTTCTCTCTGTCTGGTAAAGCAGCTACAACACTACTCTTTCCTTTGGTTGCTTCACATCTCGGCATATAGATGCTATCAACTTTAGCTAAGGAAGAAGAAAGAGAACCAAGGATATTCAATTCCTTCTCCAAAGATAATGCCATATAATCAATTAGGAAATCTTCATTTTCTAATTTTAGATTTCTCAACAAACAGTCTGTAGGGAGAACACTGATGAGCTTATGAAGGCACTGGAACAAAACAGTTTGATTCCTGAAATAAAAAAACAAACATAATATTATAAAAATCTGTATAGCCCAAGTACTCTTGTATAACATACTATAGTAATCAATTTTCACTTATAAACACTGCAATATTGAATAGAAGCAATAATGCATGTGCTTATTGATAAAATTCAGACTGTAGCAATTGAATGTATCCCATATAGAGTCAGTTAATATAAATATTGTTTTTAATTAATGTTTTTTTGCTGAATAATAAGGTCAATATACTTCTAGAAGTTTTACTGTGGAGAAATAAATGTAAATTGCCAAATAATTATATCCTAAAAAAAAAAAACCCAAAACCAATGTAAAATTAAAACAGAGATCATTAGTTTTCAGTCATGCGACACCAAGCCATGGCTCTGACATGTTCCTTTACAGCACAGAATTCTACATTTGGATCTCTTTTGGTCCACATATCCATCACATTTATACATACTGACTTCCAATTCCAATTTGATGGGCATTACCTGGAATAGATTATTAAAATCCCTTCAAATAGTGTTCTTTGTTGCCATTTGAAGAGTGTCCCATAGAAATTTTCTGGCCTTTTACAAAAGCACACTTCTGGAAATTCTTTGATGACTTCACATTTCATGCGTTCTAACAGCCATACCTTCATTGCTTTCAGGGCATATCCAGGTGATATGATTTGAAAACAAGATTTGTGGAATGCTGCGAAAAGTGCAAAAAGATCTTCCTGGTGTTCTACAAAAAAAAGTCACACACTCTGTCCATTATTAGATAAACAGATTTCCTAATTTTTTTCTAATTCACTTAAATATATGATTAAAAAGTACCAACAAAAATTACCTATAGGTTTCTTCTTTGGAAATGTCAATAGGCATTTCCCACTTGAAAGATCTTCTAGACGTATAAAAAGTCTGCCACACTGAATATAATCATCTTGAGGACAGTCATCGTTTTCTCTCTCCATAATATGTAGCAGCACAATGCAACAAAATTTACTGAATGCTAAAAGTGGAGAAAGAGATGTTACAGCAGTAATTATCTGTACACATTCTTTCTTAGATGGCTGTTCACAAAGAAAGCTTTCTTTTTCCTCACTATCAAGGATCAACTTGATTTTTTTTGCCTCTGATCCTATTTCATCTGGCGTCAAGTGTGGTTCCGGCAAAGAATCCATACTCAACTTAATCACGCTACTTTGACACTTAATAAGCTGAGAGCTGGAACCATGGGCTTGATCCATTAATAATGATAAAGTCGCATCATTCAGGGACCTGTAAAAAACCCAGAGTTTGGTTTAATCTAAAAGTTCATTCTTTAAAATCAAATAGATGATTAAATGTCATACAAACAACAATAAAAAAATTTTATTCTCTCCTTTCCTGGGAAATACTGTTTCAAATGTAAAATATATCAGAGAGTTAAGAGCCAAACACATTTTTAAAGGTCCTACAATAGCACTTCTCTTATAAAAGGCAAACAAAAATATTATAGATATGCTGGATTTTAGAAAAGTAATGTTTGAAGATAGGGGAATGATAAAATAATGGCTAGATTTTATTTTTGAGGTAGGTTTTTCTCCTTGCTCTCTTTAAATAAGAAAAACACTACTCATATTTCCTAAGAGTGTAGTTTGGTAATAATTTAGAGTGCAAAATACCTCTAAACTAGAAATTTCATTTTATGCTCCCCTACATGACTTGAATAAAATCTGCTTTTTCACATAGAATACTGTTTATTCCTCAGCAATTCTTTTCAGATTTACATTTCTAGAAATTTACAAGTAAGATACAGGCTTGTTTTAGCACATTCTAACATTACCAAAGTTGATAAACAGATGAGAATGGCAACATGACCAAAGAGAGGATTTCAATGGAGAAATTTAATATAAGAAATTCCTTTACTAGAGGAATTCACTAGAGGAATTTCAATATCTAGTGGGTTATACTAAGCATTAAAAAAGAGCTTAAAAACTTTAATTTGTAAATATTAATTTTGGTAATAGCACTGTTCTATGAATATTGCATGTATGTTGCAGAATGAAACAAATGAGTATGAAATTGGAATTTTTCAGTGAGGGAGAAAAGATACAGATGCAAGATTTTTACATTAAGGAAAAACCTTAATGTCTTTAGTCTGAATTGGAAGTATCAGTACAGACTTATGCTGTTTTTTTAATCTCAAAACAAAGAAAACCACAACCAGCCAAACTAACAAAAACCATATCTCCAACATCTCCTACTTTTGCCCACCAAGAAGGCCTAGGACAACAACTCACTTAAGAGCAATGACTACCTCTTGTGCCCAAACTCCGATTCTTAAATTATGAACCATATGTGAAGTTCTACCTAAATAAATGATGAGAAGTTTCTTTTTATAGAAGTATTTTGGCTAGCAAATCAAGAAGCAGTAATAGTAGGCCAAGTGCAGGGCTAATGCCTATAATCCTAATACTCTGGGAGGCTGATATAGGAGGATCCCATAAGCTCAGGAGTTTGTGAGTAGCCTGATCAAGAGCAAGGCCTCATTTCAAAAAAAAAAAAAAAAAAAAAAAGAAGAAGAAAGGAAAGCAATAATAGAATTAGAATATCATCATGTTGAAATCCTAATTAAATGATGTTTTTATTAGAGTTTTGTGTGTTATTATCACCACCCTGAAACTACAGCA